GTTAACAGCACTAATTAAGAAGCAACCACAGTGTTAGGCAAGTGCACCACACGAATATCGCCCCTTCGATGCTGCTCGTGTGCCTCTGCCTCGCGATCATTGGGTTCGTGATATTGGGTGCGCAAAGCCACTTCTTGAATTGACTTGAATATCCCTGCCGTGCGGACAAGCTTTCGAGCCACGGGCCTTGATTGCGCACATTTGTAGTCTATCGTCAACATCGCGGCCCATATATACATGTACTTTAAGTAGAAATCGCTAATGCTCTGGTTCATAACCTGTCAACTATTTAAAAAGTGTCCATCTATTCTGAAGCATGGATTGAAGTCGGTAGTGGACAGCATAATGTCAGCCAAATTTATTCAGGACACCATAAAACACACGAAGGTAGTCATTGTACTGTAAACATATTTCCTGGTAACCCCTAATCTTACAATGCTCGTAAACCTCCTGTTATCGACAGCTTCTGTTCATTCTAATATGCTGTGCCACTGTATCGCAGTTCATACCCGGATTAATGTAGTTCAATGAGGTGCAAATACGGATACATAGCATGCCCCAACTTCAAAATTGCACCATGTATGCGGATTTAGAGTTTGCAAGTGTCAAGTGGTTTTTAGTTAACTACACCTAACCCAACTTCCAAAGGATGGATGAAAATGCACTGAGGTGCCAAAACAGCATATGCCGTTCGAATGGAGGAACGTCGCTAGTGTTGTCTTAACTCTATCCTCAGTAGTTGGGTGGATTTTGGCGAACAAAGACAGTCAATTCGACGTCAACTAAAGATAGTGCAAATGAGCGTCGGAGACGACTTGTGTGTGCTTGCAGTGTGCTTAACCCCCGACTATAATCCTGAAATTACTGCGGACTACAACATTTATTATGTCATTTCTTTGCACTTGCTGACCACAAATATTTTATGGGCAGGGATAGAAGTGCACAGTTGGGCCAATCAGGCTTCTTGGTATTTTGGGTATGTCGACTGGATCCCATTAAAGCGCACTAAGTGTGGTTTGTTTGTAAAAAAAATGCTAACTGACCACAGCACTATCTTCACATGCAATTTACATTGATGAGCTATTTCGCGTCCTTCGGCAGATGATGTGATAGCAGAACTAAATTGACCATGTCGTCATAATGTACAATATATGTGGATGCTTCGCTGGTGGATGTTAATTTTCAAATACCGGGTCGTTTCTTAGCACGTGCCGGAGCGTTTCCGATATCCGGTAAAAAATTTTCAGTTTTTACTTCCATTGAATAATTAAGTTATCTAGAATTTAACAGGCCGTCTCATTAGGACGTCTTACAAACTGGGAATTTAACTAAATTTCCCAAGGGTATCCGCATTCAGTAGTATGGGATTTTAATTGATGTGCCTCATTCAGAAGTTCCGCTTCCGACATTTGGTCGCCATTGAATGGAATATATTTCGTCTTAAAAAATTATGAGTCGGCCGGAATTAAGAACAACTTGCTAACCAGAGATGCTGGGGAGGGGTCGACAAGCGTGAGTTAAAATGGAGTATGCTGACAGGTAGTTACTCTCCCTAGACGTTGCCGGTTTCCAACAGTATGGAGGAGAGTAGTATCAGTACACAGGTCTTACTTAAGTAGTTGAAATGTTTACATACCACCAGTGAAGAGGTGACATACGAAACAGCATACAATTTATCGGCTCGAGCAAACGAGGGTTATGTCGAAATATTTGAATGCGTTTAGGATAAATGATATGGCCCACAACACAAATGCATCCAGAAAATGTTGCAGTATGCCTTTTCCGACATTAGGAGTAATATATCAAAAAATGACAACACAGTGTATTTAATGCAAGAAGATAGCACGGTATGGAAAGCTGCTTGTATTTATAACGCCACGATTGGAACAAATTTTAAAGAATATTGTTCAGCTAATCTGGGTAAAGTAATCTTGAAGCAAAATGCCAAACTACGTTTTCACAAGACTTGTGGAAGGCTGGTTGCGCGGCAGTGATATTATATCACTTCAGGAATATTTTATATACAGAAGGATAAACAGCCGCACAATTTTTGCATTTTTAATGGTGAAGATTCTACAGTCTTTCTGTATTAGATAAGAGACGAATGGAGCTCTAACGTTATGTTATACTAAAGGAGTAAAAAATGAATAATTGTTACAATGTATCATGAAAAATAACTTATAGTTTTCAATTTTTATTAGACAATTTGGGTAGCTATTTTATTGTTTTAGGTACGCGAACACATTTGCAGCAGCAGTAAAAGCTCAAGTTTGTGTTTGTTAGAAATAGTGTTTGACACTACTTTTTAGTTAAAAAAATCCCAGAGTAACAATATGGGTGGACCTTCGTTTGATGACAACATGACATTGACAACTGTGGTTGAGATACGGTAGAGCGAGGCGCACCTGACAGCTACACAAAATGCCTAACCTGAACAAAAACCTGCCCTATATTCTTTTACATCATAAAAATTGCAATTCACATTTTAAAAATTTTCGACAATACACCATTCATTTGATAATGTAAAATAATGCAACCTATGAGAACACTGAACAATAATTTGATTTAGTTTAGTTATCTTCGTTAGGTAACTTTTTGAGCAAAAATGATCTCAATTGTGCCGCCCCACTGACATCCTACTACGATTGAATTGACAAAGTAAAACTAAATAAGCTATCACCTATATTTGCTCAATAATTCTGCGAGTTAGGAGTGTGCGCGAATCAAATGAATGCCTAACCATTGTATGCTTTCATCACATTCCGGCTGGCAGCCAAATTAGTGGTAGCTTTTTCGTTTATTTTGTGAAACAAAGCTACACTGGATCCTTAGCCGTATGTAGAATTCTTACTGCGTCCATTTATTTGTGTCGTTATAACACACGATTTTTGTAACAGTTTTATAATACCTAGGTTATGTAGAAAAGCGCTTACAGGTACAAAACATATGCATCCGTTTCTACAAGCAGTACAAGTTGTGCCAAATACTAGTTAAAAGTACACCAGCAATTTAGTTGCCCTGTTTTATTTATATTGGATAGCTTAAGAATATACATAAATATTATAAATCTGACATTGTAAGATTGACCCAGCGCTGTCACACCTGGTAAAACCACCGTACACTACATTATGGAGTTATCCCAAAATTAATCACTATAGTAGACGTAAAATACCGGAGTTTATTAAGCATGGTGCTGTGCCAGCAAACTTTTAAAAACTATTTACTGGACTTGACGGAATTTTGACACAATTGCATGCGTCTCAACACCAAGTTTGCGGCTAAACTTGGCAGCGTCGGCTGCACGTAGGCATACACCGTTGACATCCATTATTGTACGCTGCCGATTCAACTAAATGCGTTCCAGCCTAGTAGATATCAACATTTAAGGAATAAAATGGGCATAAGTCTTTGTCTTAGCGCAATTAAGTCTGGCGTACTGATAGTAGCTACTGTTATTGCGTAGCAAAATTCTCTATAGTGTACTTAACTATCATGGGTGTGGAGCACGTCGCTCATGCTTTCTTGCGCATGAAAGAAAAAGTGCAAAATCTTAATGAAACAAACAATAGTGATCAGTGTTTAATTTATAATATAATCCCGTAATTTATAAAAGGTATTTGTTGTTGACCCACCATATCTGTGGTTACAGCTTATAGGCGCTAAACCTCTATCGTCATTATTAACATTTGTTGGTAATTTTAGACATTTAAATATAATACGTATAAAATTACTAGTTGCGTCTATGTGTACGCTTTCCCAACCTAAACTGGGCAACTATGAACAAAATATACCCTCGCTCTATTATTGATAACATGGCTAATTTAGACACCGACAACTGATTAAGAGGGGCCGGCATATTGCACAAACAGTAAACAGACTGATCACTTTGCCGTAAGTGCTTTTAAAAGCAGGCAAACCCATCCGTGGTTGAAATAAAACTAAACGTTTCAGCTCGTATGCACTACCTTAGCAAAATTGGATAAAACCATGGTTTTGCAGAGTTATTAATCAAACTGTTTTACATTGCAATATTTCTTTGTCTGTCAACGTAGAGAAAATCAGATAATTTTGTGGTTCCGGTAAAGGGCAGCCTCAATGTAAATAAAATAGTACGCTATTTGCATAACCGTCTCGCGAGAAATTCAGAACTGAGACAATTACTATTAGTACTACTGGAATTATGGCAACGTATGAAGGAGCACTGTTACATACACCTCGATAGTTGGTTGCTCCTTATGTAAGAATGCTGGTGTTTGTGCATTCAAAGGTTAAATCCCGCCGTGCTTTTGGATATTCGTCAGAAATACCAGTCAGTGCTTTACACAGGCAAACGTGTTCCTCCAGTGGATATGGACTAACTATGTAACCTACAGTTTGCAAATACCGTTGTCCTACTATTCAAGAAATTCGACTCGTACCATAATCGTGAAGCCGTCATCGCATTACTGATTGTAGCAACATTGAGTGAAGTCAGGTTATGTAAAAGCAGTGCAGATGACAGGTGCCGACTGATTTCGGAAATACAGATTGCTTAGTGGTTTATGTGTGTTAAATCTAAAGACGAAAATCATTTTTATGGTCATACGTTATAAGTCAAACATATACGTTATGCCAAAGCAGTATATTTATTTCACGGACAGTTAATTATATATGTAAATCCTTACAATCGTAGCATGACTCAGCAATACCAAACAATAAATATTATCAGGTTTTATTTGAAATCAATTATCATGGCTACATAACCGTTAAAACTTAAGATAGCTTTAAGTTTTCATTCGTGTAATATATGTCCTCCGCTAGAACGACATTAATTATACTTATCACTGCGGAACACTGCTTGATAATTTTGAAGGGAGTGTTTTCTCTAAAGCACCTCTCTAATACAGCCAGTGATAAGCTACTCAAGATGTGAAAACTGTCCACGCATGCATCACGATTAATTCGCCCGCATAATTACTGGAATAAGCTAGAAAATTTAATTGCCAATATTGGTTGTGTTAATGATGGTTTGTGCATCATACAATGAACTTTGCGGTAGGTTAGATCTGCTACCAGTTACAGAAATGTGCCCAGTCACAATAGCGCTGTCCCACATGAAAAGATCAAAAATAAGCCTCAGAGTGACGTACAGATTTACTCGCCTAACTTTAACAATTTAACACATGAATACATCAAAACGAGTACTTTTACATAAACATTAAGTTTACTCTAAGTTGCGTATTAGTGGAATTCGGATATTCATTTATCTCAATTAATTCTGCATCGGGAAAATTCGGGTGCCGACTTTCAAACACAGTTTGTGTATCCGCCAGTTCGGTGTCGGATTTAGACACCATACAAATTACTGTATAAAATTGGTTAAAGGAAGGTTACGAGGTAAGTAAATAACCATTGCAAGATTACTCTTATGCAAAAGTTCCTGTTATAATGGTTATTTTTCATCACCAGCTTAATAGTCGTTTTCTGTGGTGCCTTTCTTAGAGACACACAAATGAAACGAAACTTTAAGCCATGCATATAATTAAATTCACTCGCGTTCTGTAAAGTAATTTTATTATTCGGACAAATAGTAATAGTATTGTTTGTTCATTTTTAAGGAAAACTCGCGTAATATATGGCAAATTTGAACTATTACAGGAATATTGGATATGCCTGACCGGTAACTCACGAAACTAAACAATATGTTTAGAAACTAACGTCATATTCCAACAATCACCGAAATGATTTGCCCAAAGGCACATTAACGAAGCAAGATTACTAGAAAAGCATTTTATAGAGTTACTCGATTTATAAAGGTAATGGAATTAAATAATTTTTTCAAACGGAATATCTAGGAACGAAGCATTATCTCATAATGACAGAAACATCTTACGTCTAACTATATGAGTGCGAGCAGGTAGACGTTGCTAGTCATTTATGGTTGCGAGTAATAATAAACCTGGATGAATAACGCACATTGATTAATTGGTAGTTGTTATGTATGCACTGGTTCAATGATATTGTGTTCATAAGTATAACTACTACTTGAAGCATTCTGAAAATTTCATCGGTTGTCTGTTTAAAGTTCTAAACAAAATTACCACTACATTTAGCTAAAAATATACAGCGTTTTTAGAAAAGTCAAGATGCAGAGACGCATTTATTTAAGTAATAAAAGATTTCTTGTTATCCTAGATATTAAAAAAATGACATCGATAAATGCTGATATCCAGGAGAATTAGAAAAGCACAGCAGATGGAGTAGTCGCGCGTGTTAGCAGTGCTCGACCTAAGCAATGGAACTCAACATGCAGGCCAACCTTGCGCATCGACCACCTAATTGTACAAGCAAACAGTAATTTTAGGTAGAATTTCATGTATTTAATTTGGTGATTTCTGCAGACTTCTACTCATCTATTCAAAAGCCTTCGGTATCTAAAAGTTTGGTATTATGTTTAATCTTTGTCTATATACCAACAGATTTGCGGATTAAATTTGGGGGAATGTGCTATCATATCCAAGTAGAAAAGTCATGCAAGTTAACTTAGTGATATGCTGTGACATTGACGCACATAACAACAAACATAGTTCACATGAAGTGGCGTCTGGTACCTCTAGAGGTCACATCATTTTACTTTGTGTTAATATTTTAAGGTAGAAACTTTCTAATAAATGAAGAATGAGAATAAAAACGACAGACCCTAATGTTTTAGGAAAGTAAGCATTGACAAATTTAAGCAAACACAACTGAATAACAACCCCGGCAGCCGCGATTGAAGCGCAATTTATTGGTAATATTTTGTAGTAAATGCATTGGAACATGGCAAAAGTCGTCAGAATTAGCTGTCCCGAAGTACTGTGCAGGATTAGTGTAGTTCTTGATAAGTTTATTAAAAGTCAGAAAGACCAGTACTTGCGCGCACGTTTATTACGAAGGTTATTTTCAAACGTTATTTTACACAATTAATTGAAATAAATTGATACGATATCCCAAGCTTTGCTAAATGCATAATTAGTTGACGGACCAGCAGTCGATGCTGCTGATGGCTTTTGAAAAGGAGCACTGAAGTCTGGTTACACTCGTTAGAATTTAATCATGTCGTTTTAAGCTGATGAAAGGAATATCCAATTAATATAAACCACTTGAGTTAGTTAGGGTGTCTTTTAACCAGTTACTAAAATAGAATGATAATTCATATAGTTTTGCCATGGAAGAACTCGCTACGGTTTTTACAGCACTACACTATCTTTTTCACAGAAGAATCATTTTTGAAGTCCGTACGCCATCAGTGCCCTATATGCATTACGATGCGCCTCAAGCGACTAAGCTGAAACAATTTTTAACAGTTGCTGACGAATTGGTGAATACTTTGTTTTGCTAAATATATGACACACACTTATCCATAACCAGCTTTATTTAAACAATTTTCAGTAGCAGTAGATTTTCATTGCATTTGGCTTTTACAGTGGTTTATTTGCAGTTACAGTGCCAACGAAACAGACATTCGGGATGTAAACTCATTCTCCATTGGCGGAAATCTGAGCCTTCATAAGTGGTATGATTAACCAATCGCATTTTTTCATGGTTAATCAGACCTTATATTAGGCCGGAAAACATGGACAGTTAATGGTATGAAAACCAGTCTACTGTTGAAGTACATTTCGGTGAAAGCAGGCGGTGAGTTGGTTACTATTCTTTTGCCTTTGCAGTGCGCCAGGTTGTTACGCTACATGAGAGAGTGATTCAGTTCTTAGAATGCGCCAAGTTAACTACTCGGCATTTTGCTACCGCTGCCGAATAAACATAATCAACACATCCATCATTAACTCTACTCATAGCCAACTTCAGCACTTTTCATGGCTAATTAGGCATCAGTAAATAACAAAAGAATTTTGGACAGATGCGCACCAAGTTTAAATGTCTTTAGCTTAAGTGTTCGCTGCTTACAGTTCCTTATGTTAAGTACGCGGTCAAGATAAGCATTTCTGATGCATAAAAAACAAGCCGCTTTACCTTTTCTTTCGTTCTGAAAGATGTATTTATTCTGCGTTTAATTGCGGATGTGCTTGCCGTTTGGTTTTGCGGACCGCGACGTTCCGCCAAAGACATATAGTTGACTAATTTATTAGAAACTATAAAAAGTGTTTCATTTCCTTGGGATGTTACGCCGTTTCGATTTTAAAATACATTTGTTTCGGATTTTCCATCAATTTTTATGTCTGTAGATGAAGCGCGTATACTAAAGCTACTAACGCCAATATCTCTTCTTAAGTTGGGTTTAGTTATGCTGAATTCGTAACTGATATCTGTGTTGTCATATTGCATATGATTTGGTTTGATGTTTCTTTTACATTTATGAAAGAATAATTACTTTGAGAACTGCATGCAAATAACACAGATTTTGTATCGGTTTAGCTTGCCTTCTCGAAGAGTTTGACATATTAAATAGGAGTTTCGTCAGCCTTATACTATGTCAAATTAGGATAATTTACAATAGACTAGAATATAATTACTCAAATTACCCAGCTTATACACGAATTAGTAAGGAAAAGAAAGAATACTTGGTTTCTGAGGGTTAAGAAATTGAGTGAATAATTCCGGCTCCTTTTCATTGAGTAAATTCGAGCAATTAAGCGCAAAAGTTCCATTGCGGATAAATCCTGCCCAAGAAATGGAGCCGTACCGGTTAATGTTTTCAAAACCTTTTCCATTTACGGTGCTGTTAAATGATGAATATCATATTGAATAAGCTTAAAGTTTTACACGTTCTGTTATTTGAGTTTGCCACATGCGAAGTTTATCTGAATTCCTTAACCCAAACCCAGATGAACTAACGCAATGAGTAACATATTTCTCAGGTCATTGGCTTATTTACAAGGAGCAGTCTTTTAATGGTATATTCCTCAGCGTTGCCAAAGCTAATGGATGTAAGGGCTTTAAACATTAATATAAATGAAGGTTGCAGCAGGCGTGCCTTTTTACAATGTATTGTCAAATTTCATTCAGCAGACTAAACGTTATGAGTTTCAATAGACCGAGGAATTACTACAAATTTTGGAATATAACTGCTGTGCAAAACACGACTCGTGCACATTTGTCGACAAAATCGGCGTAGGAAATAAGTGTAAGTCGAGGGGTCGTGTGCGCTTACCTTATGCTTAGAGTTAAATAATTCTTTGTAATACGACGGTGGTTAATTTAATTGATATTTTACACAAGTTTTGCAAGTATATAGTGGGATCAAATTGCTTGTTTTGTAATTTATAAATGTCACATGTCCCCCGAGTACAGGCTTTTGGCTCCCGCTTATTTAGTACTCATACTTAGCTTGCTTTATCCCAAAGGAACAAACCACACCTGAGATTAATGACTCATTAGACAAACTAATAAATTGATAATGGGTTAAGTACACTGAATGAACTTTATTTAATACGTTTTTCGAACACCTGGCCAAGCGCCGCTTTCTACTATTGATTTAAACAAAGACCTGCCCATATTTTATCGTAATATATTGGTGTACATCACTTACTAAAAATGATTATTTGGTAAATATTTTTACGTTTCTCTTAGTAGTATATTTATCTAGATTTATAATAGTAAAGCATTCGTCAAAGTACTCCAAACAGCCAGCATAACAGTGAACGGATTTTTAGAATTGAAGGAAAACTGAAGTTGCTTGAAGCTAGGTATCCAAAAGTAGCTTTCATACCAAAAATCTATGCTTTCTTAAATTTACAGCAATAATCTGGCACCAGTTTGCACTACAAGATAAAACGGTGTGATATTGGTTAGAGTAAGGCTAGATGCAAAGTTTGACATTTAATATAGTGAACACAGATACGAACAAAAAATTTTAAGCCGAGTCAATATGTCGGATTTACTCTCGACTACTTGAAAATCTTTACTTATGTAATTAAGGTTACTAAATGCTGCCTATCATTAGAGTGAATTGGGTAGCTGCTATTAGTTTGAATTTTTTAAATTTAGCAGATCTTAATAATAATAATTGCACCAGCATATACTTTTACACAGTACTTCATAACGTCACTGTATGCTTAAACAAAAACGATTATGTTAAAAGCAAATGAAACATAAGCAAGCATTACGATGAAGTACTTTGGTAATCAATTCGATCAAGGTGTACAACAGTCTTATGCTTTATTATCTAGAATGGTACAAGTAACCAAATAAATGTATGCACTGTGTAATTCGCTTTTGACGCAAATCGCACAAAGAGAACATAGAAATAAGAAAAACACGCGAAACCAACTGTCCAATATTAGGTGTTAATAAATATGGAGTTGTGTCTTAGTATTACCTATTCTCCACAAGGTAAGAAAGGTTATGGATGTGCGTTTGGGGCAGCCGGTCTATGGATTTATACTGCAGTTGTATTTGATTCATTCACACAATTCACCAATAGCAAAGGAAAATATATTAGTGGCTCCATTTATGTGATATTATAAGCTGAAATGTTTTTTTGCTATATCCGTTCAAAAGTTTTAGGTGGCACAGCGTTTAATTTAGTGCATCCGATGCTGTTTGAACGACTATTTTGCAATGCATACCAAGAGACCATTCGTATCGGTATATTGCTGCAAATACATCGTTTTCTTTATTACGAGGAGTGCTTGCAGAAAAGTTAAAGGTTAACATCAGTAAATAGAAATTTATTTCTATCACATTTTGATCAGATACATGGAATGCTTACCCATATGGAATATTGCAAAACGTTCTGGTTTCCCCAGAAGATTATTTGCTATTATAATAAATTCAGAAAACACTAACACAATGTATTAGGAAAAAAGACGACGGGTTCACATTGCATAAGGTCTGAACCATGAAAATAAGGTCGGCTGTGCTACCGTTGCATAATGTTGCTGTATAAAGCGCTAATCGACGTATATTACTCTGCCTTTTAATGCAGTCACGGATTGTTATTAGCACAGGGGTTATCCTGTTCTCTAAACCTTGTTTAGTAAACCATGAACGTTACTGGAAAATATCCTTAAATTCTCTATATTTTGTTACAATCGGCACTTACTTGCACTGGACAACTAAATCAACTAAACTTAACACCTCGTGCACTCTATCTACACAATATAATACACGATAAATAAATAAACGCTTATTAGTGTTAGTAATATTTGCAACGCGGCGTGGCTTTCACACTAAACGTTACCGAAAAATCAGTCACAATTCCAAGTCTAGCTATTCCTGTTTCATGTGGATAACAAACGACCTGAAAGGTGGAATAACTTTGCCCCGGAAAATTCAATGAGCTGTTTACTTAACACGAGTGGGTAAAACTGGGATAGCTTTGGGTAAATTGGTGGATTCAAATGAGATTGGATCTTCAACGACACCAAATTGTGTGTCAACTTTGTTAGTAAACAAACTGAGTGAAGCACATACCATAAGTGGAGAAGTGGTCAATGGGCAATGTTATTGTGTTTGCCAACAGCCAGTTGGAGAAAATTGGCGCTTTGATTGAAATGCAGCAAGCTAACAGAGTGAAGGCGGTAAAAACCAATTTGAATCCAACTCAGAAGAGATAATAAAAAGATTATTCGGCCTGAGGCAGAAGTTTTGGGCGAAGTATTCTTGTCAGTTTTAAAGTACGTTAGTGTAACTGACATAATATTCGTTGCAAATTTGTCAGTTATAATTTATTACTCGTAGTAAATAAGTTTAGAAAACCAACTTTTTATGCATGCATTGCCTAAGTACTTCCGGGTGAAGTAAATACTGAGTTTATATCAACTGTTTTGGTTGCTAAATATTTTAGCCGATGGTTGTATATTGTTATGAGCCTCCTTGCTAGCTGACCACAAGGATATAGAGTAAGATCATCGGTCAGTAGCATATACTTTCCTGGTTTTCCTCTTTATTTTGCCACAAAAGTATAAAGTCACACATAAGTAGAAAACCGATATAAATATGCTGTGTCTGCAACTGTTGACGACCGGCAATTCTCAACTTTAATTATCCGCTGTCGGTTGCCGTCTGCTGTTATTTTCTGCATAACTTTGCAGTTTAGACATTCCGGCTTCTCCTTCTTAGGGGTTGGGAAAGAGAAAAATGCAAGAAAAACGGTCAATATTTATGAATATTATACTGCGTTTTCAAGAGCAACCACCTTATTTAGATTTCAATCTTTTGACGCATGTTGTCAAAAATAATCTTACCTACCGGAAATTAGATTCCTGTTTTCACATATGCCCTGTACTTTAGTTACCGAAAAAAGTGGTTACAATATAGATAAATGTATTTGATTCATTATAGAGCGTAGTAGATTATATTGTTTATTGTCAACGAGTAAATCTTCAGCTATTTCCGACTTTTAGTCCGAAGGACCGAAAACACCAAGTATGAATAAATTAATACGTAGATGTTTTGAATCCAATCCAAATAAGTGAAGTACGAACTAACTTATTGAGTATTAATCTGCTATTTGTTTGTACTAACCTAATGGTTTCAGCGAAGAACAACTAACACATTTAGTTTAAAATGAGCAAAGTTGTAAGCATGCTGTCACGTAACTTACCTGATGCAGTTTGTTTTAAAGTTATATTTTACATAATCCATGTGCGTTGTTTTATAGTAAATCAGTACATGAGTTTCTACCGTACACATCATATTTAGCTCTTTCCTTGGCAGTAAACTAAAGGAAATCC